AACAGAAGCTATCCAAGCCCAAGTCTGAACTCCTCTGGTTGGACACATAGCTCCATCTATCGCTCTGTCAACTACATGTCCCATTATTCACACACTCAATCCTACAGCCAGCCCTGCTCATTATCCAACTGCCCCTCATAGCTGAATACACCAGCCGCTTGGGAAATGGATTAATCAAAATTCTGAAATGACAGCAAAAAATAAAGTAGAGGTAAAATTCCTTGACACAATACCAGAAGACATGCGCTTTACTTATGGGTCTGCCAATTATCTGATTACGGAAAATGAATTTTTGTAAGCCTCTGCTTCCTTATCCACATGGGTTATTATAGCTACTTGCAAGGTTTTGCTGAGTATTAAAGAAGTTGGATGTCAGCCCACATGCAACATTAATATTAACTAAGAAACTAAATTCCAGTAACATAACCTTATATTACATAAAATCTAATGAAAACCATAAGAGCTGAAATTATTGACTTTTTCTTTTAAAGTTAAGTGGTTGAAACAGCATTTGCACCATAAGCAATGTGACATTTATGAAAATAACTTTATCAAAACATAAATTGATGGGTGCTTTGTCTACATACAAAATTAAATTCTATACTACGCAGCATCTTTTATTCTAAAATATAAGAGAAAGCCAATTAGCTGTGACTCTGAAACCTCATTGGAAACTTTTCCCAACAAGGAACTTACCGCCTCTACCACCACCCCTGCCGCCGCCTCTGCCTCCTCCTCCTCTTCCTCCTCCTCGGCCACCGCCTCTTGGAGGTCCTTTCTCACCCGGAGGTCGAGGTAAAAACCTCTGCAGTGGCAGCAATTTATATGGGTCGATATAAAACTGGAAGTTTTAGAACAGAAGCAATTAGCAGGATCACTTGGAGGACAGTACAATGCAAACATTATGAGCCTGGATAAAAACAGTACTACCTAGGTTCAAACCCCACTCTACCACTTGTTACCGTGTAACCCTAAGCACGGTCTTAATTACTTTGTGCCTTTTCTCATCTGTAAAATGAAGCGAATAAAGTATCCACCTCACATTAACAAAGCTAGTATGAGACCCAAGAGTAATAATGTATACAAAACACTTTGGCATACAATAAGTACTGCATGCAACTAAATAAAAGCCAAGATGAATTAAATCTCTTTTCCTCTTTTGAAATAGATTCTTTGCAAAATTTACCCACATTTCCTTCGACAGGAATGGCATAATAGAAACCTATTAAAATGCAAAAGAAAGCATGGACATATTATGTATTCTAAGACCTTAATAAAGGATTCATTCAATAAGATATTGGACATACAACATAACAGATACATTCTCAGTTCTTCGATAGAACATGCTTCCAAGCTGTAATATACTTCTTGCTGTCAAGCTTATTCCAGCTCATAGTGACACTACAGGCCAGAGCAGAACCGCCTCCCAGGGGTTCCAAGGCTGTGCGCTTTATGGAAACAGCCACATCTTTCCCTAGTAGAGCGGTTGGTAAAATCCAAACTGTCAACCTACCACCGCTTGTCTGTCAGTCTGTCACACTGTGGTGCTTTGTGTGTTGCTGTGATGCTGGGAGCTATGTCACTGGTACTTCAAATGCCAGCGGGGTCACCCACCATGAACAGACAAAGAACAGAAAACAAGAGGGACTGGGCTCCTGGAGGAAGAAGCTGCTGACAACCTCAAGCACAGCTTCAAAGCACTGTCAAAACTGGAAGCCGAGACAAAGGAAAGGAAACACTGGCACAGATACTACCTGCAGATAGCCTGCCACGTCTGAGGGCACTGGAAATGTGACCCAAGAGGAGGTGATTTCTT